ACGAAATAGCTGTAACACAATAAATAAAACACCCAGAGACAGATATTGGGGTTCAAACTTCAAACTGAAGATGAGAAAAGCAAAGCATCTGGACACTGCCTCTCACTCTACCTCAGACTGAAAGGCGATCCTGGCTCCACCAAACCCCAGACTGCTGCCTCTCCTCAGCATAGCTGGAGAATCCTGAGACTTCAATCAATGCCTTGCTATCCTCAACATGGCTGGAGAATGAATGCCAACTCTGAGATCCTGTTTCTGTCTTAAATATATCATGAGTCCCAGGATTAAAGGACTGAGCTCTGTTACTCTTTTAGACTGATTCAATCTTGTAGAGCCCTGGGTTGCCTTGAACTAACAGAGATTAGTCTACCTCTTAATCCTGAGTCCTGGGATTAAAGGTGTATGCCACCACTGCATAGTTTCTATAGCTGACTAGTGTGGCTGGCTTTGCAAACTGATCTCCAGTGGCTTTATTAGATCAAAAACAATGTATCACCACCAATGCATCTTCCTGGCCTTTCTGTAAGGGTGATTTGCTGATGAGAACATCAGGAACTGTGGAGAACCTGGTATTTTGCAAGACCAGAGTCAAATTACCTCCTTTGTACCTGACATAATATCTTTGTGACTATTAGGTAACTCCTTTAGAATATACAATTAGATACCTAGCTCCCACCAACCACCATATAGCAAAGGCCTGAAGCAGAGGTTTCTTGCGTTGTTTTAGCTGGCCTACTTAATGTTCCCACAAATGTACCTAAAAGGGGCTTGATTTATGGTCTGCTTTGGTTTGTTTGTATGTTGTTTGTTTTTGTTACTATAAAAACTTCATCTAACTATTACCACATTGAAAAATGGAATCTTAAATGACATAAGCCTATGTTTCCCAGTTGTGGTCACTCATATTTGGCCCCAATTTCAGGAGAATGTTGTGGTTTTATGTTAACACTAGGTTCCTTCATGCCACAAAAATGTGTCCTTTAGGCTTATTTCAGATATAGTCAAGCAATTCTCCATAACAGTGCAGTGCCTTTAACCTCATATCCTCTCTGCGGTGGTGGCTCATCTGTGCATTCCATAGCAATGGACAACTTTCTGTGCTTCTGCTGTTTTTAAGATGCCATGCCCGTGCCCATGCCCGTGCCCGTGCCCGTGCCCGTGCCCGTGCCCGGTCAAGCAATTCTCCATAATAGTGCAGTGCCTTTAACCTCATATCCTCTCTACGGTGGTGGCTCATCTGTGCATTCCATAGCAATGGACAACTTTCTGTGCTTCTGCTGTTTTTAAGATGCCATGCCCGTGCCCATGCCCGTGCCCGTGCCCGTGCCCGTGCCCGTGCCCATGCCCTCTCCCGTGCCCGTGCCCGTGCCCATGCCCATGACTGGAAGTGCAAGAGACTCCCTAAGGTCAAGTACTCCTGTAGCCTCTAATTTAAAAAGGCCACTTCCACATTAGTTCACCAAATATTTGGGCCACTCACCCCACTGACAGCAATACCCAATCTGACACCTCAGTTAGGACACTGAACAGACTGTGGGAATGATCCACAAGAGAAAAAGCCAGACCCAATGCTCACATGAGGAGAACCTGGCACTTGTCACCATAGCCCCACTGGTAGCAGCTACCACAGTAGACAGGAGTTGACAGCTCTCTGAGGTACAGAGAAATGCTGGGGCTAACCAGTGGTGAGTGTGTGAGGAGATGCAGATGAGCCATTGGCCACTCATATCTTAATGAGTCATCTAGAGCAACAAAATGAAAGAAGAAAATAAGAGGGACACAAATGGGAAGGGAAGAAGCCAACCGTCTTTTTTGTAGACAATGCGATTCTCTATTTGAGAAACCCCAAAGATTCTTCCAGAAAACCTCTGGAAGCTGTGAACACTTTCAGCAAAACATGTAAGAGTACAGTATTACTGACAAAAGTCAGAGCCTTCCCATTTTCTTTTCGTTTTCCTTTCTTTTGAAATTTTCTGAGATTAGAATTTACTTGCAAATTTTCTTCTTTCCATTTCCACCTCCAAATCCTACCATATGTCCCCACCCATTTTCAAATTCATGGACTCTTCTTTTTGGCTAACTGTTATTGAACACATATATGTATGTATATATATTTAATAGCAATTGTCTATATATATATATATATATATATATATATATA